AGCATTCATTCAACACTCCATTTGATTTTTTTGAGCTGATAATAGCATTGTCAGCGACCAGCTAAAGCGATAACTGCAGCAGATTTCAAAAGGTGGTATTTTTACTCCATTACCTCCAAGATACTGACTCAACAACATAAAGATCGCATTTTGTTGGTGCATATATACAAATTCTTACGAGTAGAAATTTTGCCCTGATCTGAATTAGTATGTTCAAAATGATAAAAGAGATGCAGCTATTTTCCAGATTTAATATTTGTTAGTGCAGGGAAATGTTTAAATCGAAGACACATTACCAAGTATCGACTCTTGGGTCTATGGAACTTTGACTTTGACCCGACGATAGTTAGCGCTTTGTAAAAGAGCCAAAATGTTACGACCTTCTTCAAGAACGGTCATTCCGACCTTTTGCCCCCGCGGAAATCTAGAATCTTGAAAACAACTCTTTTCTCAGTCATCAGTATCATGTTCTACCATGCTTTGTCAGTAAGCGGAGAATACAATTGATTGTAATTAACCAAAAATACTCATTTTAAATAACGCAGAAAATGTACCGAGAATGTCCACAGTGACGTTATTGAGGGCAACATCCCCAAGTTAATGATTTAGTGCATTAGATTTACCACTACATCTGTTCGATGCTTCTGTTCCCATTCCCAATGGAAAAAATGCAGTAAAAATGCGAGAAACTAATGATTGCAAAGAAAACCTTCCTTCTAGGAAAGTTTGCGAAGAAAATGAGCACTCCCTTGTTCCGCAAGAAAAGTTGGTAATTTGGTTAGTACTCAAAATAATAGCTGATTTGGAGCAACTGCACTTGTGTTAGTTGTACGAGCACATACCTATATTCCTTTACCTCATTTTTCTTGGAGATCTTTTATGCAACATATTAAACAACTTTTCTTTACCTAATCTGCGGTATGTATCACTCTGAACATTCAATTGCAGTGCGAAAAACAGCTCATGGTGATTAGACGATTAGAAAAGTTTTCTGCTCATTGCTAAAAAACTCTTCTGTTACCAAAAAATTTCACGGTTTACAACAACCCATATTGTCGTCTCGTCGGCGTAGTACCTGTTCAATTAATAACTGTGCAATTATGATCCAAATTTGAGCTAAGCACTATAATGGATTCACTATGCTTTTTGATGGTGTTTGGTACCAAACATATGAATGGGAATCATTAATGGAAAAAATGATAGTGAACGATTAGTTTCTAGCACATTGGAAGCCTTTGACATCATCCTTGTCAATACCTCTCGCTTATTTACCGCCTACTTATCACTTTTCTCGTAGAGGTTTACTTTT